CCCCAAAACCCCAAAACCCCAATCGGCAGATAAAGTATATTTTAGAGGATTAAGAAATTAATGAATTGACTGTAAAAGTAAATCGATACTCACACAATGGTCTTGTTTTCTTCGAAGTTTGTCTCATTTTTCACTAAATTCTCTAATTGCTATCCCTAATTATTTTACTGAATCTATCCTTAATCAGCTTGAATTACTGATGTACCCTAATTAGTCTATATTTGATTAGTTGGGATGCTAGATTTAATCATATCTGGATTTGAAATTTATCCTTGTTTCTCCTTATTATCAGTATTTTCAACAGGCTTTGGTTTCTTAGGAGGTCTGCCTCTTTTGTTTCTCTCATCCACCATTGGAAATATGATATTGGTCGTGCTATAGGCACTTCCAGCTCCAATCAGATTAAGATAGTTTAAAGTTTGCTAATGAAGAAGAGTTTAATCTATAGGATTGGTGGATCCTTATAAGAAAAATCCACCATCTCCAGAGCCATTATTTTTCTACTGGATTTTGGAAAGAGTACTCATCAGCACTATTAATGTATTAGCAAAGTTAGATATTACCACTTTAAATTTGCTATTGAATGATTGATTCCTTTGCAGGTTTAGGCTATCCCATTGCTTCCTCTTATTTTTTGCAAGGCTTTTCGCAATATTCATGAGTGCAGTAATGTTTTTTCTTACTCCAGCCTTTGCAGCATTAGCAGGGACGAGACATGACACCGACTATAATTAGTAAAACCTTTATATATTACTTGGCATCTCTACATATCTTCTAAACTCCTTATGCATTGCTTTTAACTCTTTTAGTCTCTTGATTTCAAGATCAAGTGCATGTATTTCTTAAAGCAATACACTTTCATTTTATTTCTATAAAGATTAAGATGATGATTAATTTATTACAGTATGGATGCTAACCCATTTGAGATGCTGAGGTAGTTAAATTCCTTTATAGTATGCTAGATCTAGTTGCCTATCTAAGAAGAAGTCCCTCTTTTTCTTTCCCTATCTTGATTCATTATTATAGTCTCTGAGTATCTTTTCCAACTCGGCATCTTCTCTTCTCATATCAATGGCGTTCTTCTCATTATATCTTGATCCAGCACCCTTATCATTTTCATAGTCTGATTCAAGATCATCATCTTCTGCCTGCTCTTAATTCTTCCCAGGTCTGCCAACTTTCTTAGAACCTTGACCAGTTGCAGATGGCTTTCCCTTTTGCTCTTACCAAAACTAAGCCTCTTCGTCTAATTCCTTCTTTTATTTCTCTTTTTGCTCTCTAAGCTTCTTGTTCTACTTATATTTCCTTTCCCGCTCTATAGTCTTTAGATGTTCTTCTTACTGCATCTGATAACTATTTTGATCACCACCAAGATTAAGAATTGCTTTCTAAGGTTATGGCTCCTAATTTTTCTATGATTTAGCCTCCTTTTTCTCATTCTTATCTTACTTCTATTACTAAGGTGGCTATACAGTTGAGTGAGTAGCTCTTCTTTTTCCTAGGACACTTCCGGAGCTCAAAACTTTAGATTAATCAGGTTCATCAACAACTGAGTTTTGATCCAGGCTTTCATTACCAGAGCTAGACTTTCTCTGATTTTGCGCATTTTTCTTTTAGTTCTTTATCTTTCTCTTCATTTAACTAAATATTAATATATTTTATCAAATCAATTCTTGTTATTGAGAAGGATTTTGGGGTTTTGGGGTTTTGGGG